CCCTCATTGATTTCTGTTATTCACACATAATCTTTTATGTTTAACACTTCATCGTGCAAATTTTAGCCATCTGCATACCCTGTAGTTCAAATAACATACCGGACAATATTAAAAAAACTGAACTTCTACAAGTAAAATATGAGTATACGTATTTAAATTTTTGTCAAAGATTCCTACGGCATATAGTATCTTAAAACTATTATGTCCATCACTCATAAGAAATTACAATCTTCTTTTTTCGTCATGACACAAAAAGAAAGTTGCAAAATAATTATTCTTTGTGATTTGTTAGAGGATTTTGTCCTTTGAATTATTTAAATTTGAATTAATTTTGTGGAAAGGTATTAAGCCACCTGATGATATCCGTTGCTCGATCGAAACACGTCGTGGTAGCTACTGAAAATTCTTCAAAATATTGAAATTTTGTTGAATTTCTTACGAAACTCACCCTCACCCTCATCCTCAAGATAGCGTAGCGTTTTCTTTGCTGGTAAACTGATTCGGTTAAATGATTTGGATGATTTTATATCCTTTAAATGAATTTAATGGAATTAGCTCTGTACAAAGGTATGAAAGCCACCTGATGAAGCTCTTAGCCGAGTCGAAACGCTTCGCGATAGCTACTGAAAATTCTTCAAAATATTGGATTTTGTTGAATTTTGTTACGAAACTCATCCTCACATCACCCTCAAGATAGTTGTAGCTCTTTTCCAAATTCTTGAAAATTCCTTGTCGAATTTTGTTGAACAGATTCTTATCTTACCGCCTTGTATGAAATTTTAATATGGTATTGGATTTCAAAGCTTTGTAAAGTATTTTAAGTTTAATTAGATTTGATTTCATATGTACTTCTAGATTCTTAACATACCTGATGAAGACTATTTGAGCAATAGTCGAAACGCGTCGTATGATGCGTTGAATCTATGTTTTATATAAACTCAGATCAGTAAAATATGATTTTACGTGTTCAAAATGTGTATATAATAAACATACAGAAAACTTTCAGCTTCGAAATCAAACAAAGCATAAAATCAGTACATGAAGACAAAAAAATTCTCTAAATAAGTGATAGCAATTTATTATAATGACATTTAATATGGAAAAGAATGAGTGCTAATGCGAGTGTTTGATAGAAAAATAGGACAATCATTTTATTTAGAACAACTCACAACTGATCGAAATATCGTAAAGAAATAATTTCTTTTAAGACATAGAGCTGAGTTATCCTTAACATACTGAATTTCTTTCGTAAATTTTTTGTCAATATCACTCTCAGTAAACAGTTTTTCTTTCGAGCTCGATGAAGATATTTTTCTAATACAACTAAGATTTAATAAAAGATCAAAAATCTCTTTCTCATCATTCCATTTTCTATCATCATCCTCAAACGAAAAATTATTAATGACGGATGAGATATGTTGATGTACTTCCAACAAAGATACAATATCAGTTTCAGCAAGCTGAATAAGCAATTTTAATATAGACGAAAAACGTCGGGATTTAATATCACACGCCACTAAATCTAAACATTGAAATATCTTTTCAATAATATCTCGATCGGATATTTGTTTAATATGTTCAAGATACTTCCATCCATCGCCATCTTCAACAAATTCAATCCATTTTAACATATCAATAAGATCGTCTGTAACTCCACCAAACGCGGTATACAGTTGCACTAAGGTTTTACGATCAGTTGAATTATTCGTTTGATAGAAATAGAGAGAATATTCTTTTCTAAACTTTGCTTCGCCAAAAGAGCTATTCTGCACAGCGCTACAAAACACATCAAAATACCTTTCACAAACCTGCAGTGCTATACCAACATAGTTAGGCATAGGATCAGCAAGATAATCACTATTTTCTTTGTTACATAAATAACTATAAAGATTGGCGACAAACATATCAATAAGTTGAACAATTACTTTTATATCCTGAATAAATAAGTCACTCCACTTTTCGTATAGTGTTAATTGTAACAGTATATTATATGTCTGTTTAAGTGTTATATTTGATTTGTTTTCAAACCAATTCGATATTGTAGTAAACTTTATGTTCGAACGATGAGCGAAAATCAAACAAAAAGCAGCTCTAATAGAGATAAGCTCTGATGATGATGTTTTGAAAAGAGTGTTAAGCACATTCTGCATCTCGTCTGAAACGTTTCGATTTCTTTGAAATTCTTGTAACTTAAGTAAACAATTACCATAAGCCAGTAAACAAACAGCTAGAACATCTTTGGAATATGTATTCCAATAATAAATAACTTTTTCCAAATGAATAATTGTATCATCTTGCATAAGAACATGATCTTCTTGTGTAACATAATCAATAAATATCGAATTCAGAGCATTGAAAATGGCTTTCTGAACTCGAGGAAATCGTTGATTATGAAGAAATGTAAAAATCCATTCGTAGAATTCACTCGAGAATTTCGTTGCACAGAATAAAGCAATTGACATCTTGATTATCCATTTGACAATGATAGCAATATGTTCCTCTTTGATATTATGCTGCAAATTATTTGATACATCCACAAATTCAAGCAAATATTGTTTAAGATAGAGTTCTAAATCTTCTGAACAACTGCTAATCATTAATAAATATGGTTCAGTCATGTTCTTAAATGTATGATGGATATTTGAAGTTATTCGTTCGAGTTCTAAGGTTAGAATTAATTTTAATATTTCTTTGCAATGAATTGAAACAGAAAGTTGTGCAGAATAACGAATATTTTGATGTAGAGTAACGAAGATTTGACGAACGATGATGGGATTTGCAGGTCGTAAAATAAACAGATGCTGAATGACATTTTTCAAGCAAAACTCACTGTCGTTAACAAACATTTCGTTGATGATATCGATTGCATCAGGAATATCTGCCCCTTCGATAACTAGCATCAATGCGGCATAATATGCAAATAATCTCAAATCTTCATCCTTTCTATAATTGAGCCATTTTGCAATTATTGGAAGAGCTCTTTTTTCGACCTTAATACACCAACATACATCTGTAATAATTTGATGAAATTCTTTTTTGTTTGACATTCGCAAATAGTTTGTGATCAATGTTGCAACTTCAAAAGTTATTATCTTTGAATATTTCGATGAGTCTTCCCACAGCTGCCTCAACTTTTTTATAGGAGAAATTTCAATCTTGTGATCACCATTTGTATACATTTTTAGAATCTGAGTATCGAACGCCAATTCAGCTAGATACATGGATGATAGAAGAATAGTATTCGAGGGATCCAATGATGTTGTGTTAATAAAATATTCAAAGAATATAGTGGAATTGAAGTGAAGAAGATCAGACAAGTTCTCGGTTCGTTGTGCGAGCTTCGATAGATAATGTGAAAGCTCTGAATTATTGAGCTGTCGCAATGCAATAAACGCTGCCTCTTGTTCTTCAGTTTGCTTGTTAATAAAAGTTTCATTCAACTTTTCACCGAGTACATGAACCATGTGTTGAAAATGCACTGGAAAATCTTGACAAATTGTATGACATCGAACGAACAAAAGAGTTGACATTAATAATGAGAGACGTGGTAGTAAAGACTCTAACAGACTAACCACTTCTAATCTCAATTGATCTCTTCGTTCTTCATCAAATACTAACGGATCCTTCATGTCTAAAATAATGCTCAAAGCGATAATTCGTAACTTTGAATCGAATATATTAATTATTGCAAAGTACACTTCTTCGCTCTCGATAGTGGAGAGATTAATGTTTGTCGTTTCATAATTATTACGAGAATGATACTGTTTTTGAAACAGTCGAGCAAGGCAAATTGACGCAGTGAAAAAGCGTAAATCTTTTTCATGATTTTGCATGTCGTTTTTTGCTTCGCTAATACGTTGACGCTCCATACTGATCAATATTTGCCAATCTTTCGGCTGATCAATAAAGGTACAATCTTTCATTGCTTGAAAAAATTCGGCACGATCTTCATTTGGAAATTTAATAGATTTGCTTCGCTCGAAAAGTACTAAAGCATAGTTTTCAAACATGTGTTTTTTAAACAATGGTAGCAACATTAACACGGCGAGATAAAAATTCATATCATGTGTATCGACTTTATCCAAGAACATTAAGCAGTGTGATAAGAGCACAACTGGTAGGAATACATCAGTATTATTTATTGGAGAAACAATCGTACAGTAATACAATGGTTGTAGAGATTGTGGCACAAAGGTAAGCAAGAAAAATGGTTCTTGCTGGAACATCTGCAAAGGATGACTATTTTGAGTAATTTGTTCTAGCTTCCTCTTTATGATAGAATGATTGAACTCTGGTTGATATTCCAAATATCGATCAATGTTCTTGGTGCGAATAGTGTCGAATTCCAACCAGTCTGATGTTGAACCAATGGCAAGTTTCTTCCAGGCAGCTGCACATGATAACGAAAAAGCTATATGTTGTTCATCGGATTGATTAAGTTGTGAAAAAAATTCATTCATGATTGATTCGATTTCAGATGTCATGTAGGATTTCTTAGTCTCATTATGAAAATTGAATCTACAATCAAACAATTTATTCAAATAGAACCAGACTCGTTTTAATCGATCTAGTGCCATTGGTAATGCTTGATATCCATTGTACTTCTGATAAATCAATGGTTGCGAAACACTTTGCAAACAAATCAATCCAATAAAAGTATCAACAATATCAACCGAAATATCCGTTAATAAAGCGTTTTCTATAACATTCTCATATTGTTTGATCAGTGTCTGGATTTTGATTGAATGAGTTTCATTATTAGTCAAATATTCAATAATCGGCGTTATAATAGATGATTGACGATGCATCCTTTTTGGAGAAAAACTAATTTTCCTGGTATCTTTCTCACTTTTAAAATGTATTCCCCCACATACTGCAATAATAACAGAAAGTATTAAAGGATGAATATTATCAATAAAAATATTTTGTGATAAAACATGTGAACACAACTCATTGGTAAAAACGTCATTAGGAAAATTATCCAACGATACTATTCTTCGCAAAATTTGATCGATGATAAATTGAGCCGATGTGCTTATGTAATGCAACGACCATAGTTGTTGATAGACAACAGCTGGTATTGATTTCGAATCAATCTTATTTTCATCAGAAGATCGACCCATTGTCCTTATTAAACATTGACAAAACTTTAAAAGACGTTTTTCATCTTTCAAATGTAATTGCATCCATTCTATTATAATATATTCATGTAATTTGGATAAATTCGGTATTAAATATGTCGCTGCAGTTAAATTAGATGGATGATCAAGTAAACTGTTGAGTGCCGTAAAGATGACTGTCTTAGAAGGCAATTTTTGTAGATCATTAAAAGCATCAAAGAAAAGAAGTGTTCCAAATGGAATTGCATAATCTTTAGTTGGTGTAATAAGTAGATTGTAAAACTTATCATAATTATTTAATGACCATTTCCAACTGATCCAGCCAAGAGCTAAAAGAAGTGATTCACGAAAGCGTGGATTGATCGTAAATAACCGAATACGTTCTGCAATCTCTTCGATAGAAGATTCTCTTACGAGAAATTGTGCGACAAAATATTCTTGAAATGTCAAATGTTGAAAACCAAATATTTGTAAACCTCGTTCAGCTACAATACCGACGTTAAAGTCCAACAAAGATATCAATTTCTTTGCATAGTTAAGTAGTTTTCTGCGATCATTGAACAGACGTAATTGCTTTAAGGTTGAACAACACAAATGTTCCATATCGAATGCATCTATTAATCCAGATGATGATTGTAAATGAAGATGAACAGCGAGATCGATTAAAAACTTGAATAGGACACTTTCTGAAATGCTTGGTTTTGCTTTTCTCCATGAGTGCAATGTTGATTGAACAACATAATGGTATACTTCTATTCGAGATTTGAAATGAAATTCATTGGATGATTGGAAAATAGATATGCAGATCAACGATAATAACGATGGACTGGATTTTAATAATTCTGAACAGTTTTCAAACACTGCTTCAATAGCATTGCATCGCTTTTGTGATAAATTTTTCACTGTTTTGCCAAACATTTCAAGTATTTCTCTTCGCAAAACTTCAAATACGGCTTCCTCGACTTGCAACATCCATTTAGTTATAAATTTCTTTGCTTCGTCATTATTCATCGAACACAGTGAGTAATGCATGATTGAAGGACTACTAAGTGGATGCAATTGATAGCCAACAATACGACTTGTAACAACTATTTGATTACCACCAGATCTGTACGGTGATTTTATTTCAAAAATTCTCTCATTCCAATTAAAAAGGGTTTCGATATGAAGCATTTCCTCGTCAAATGCTGAGATAAAATTAGGTGCACGGACATATTCATCGATAAATTTTCGAACAAGATCAACAATCTCTCCTCTTTGTCCAACATCAGGTATTTCATCAAGTCCGTCTAAAAGAATCAAAGCGTGTCCATGGTATATCAACTCTTTCAACACACATCCACTATCATCTTGACAGTAACGTTCTGAAAACCATGTGTGATTACCAATGTAATCCATCAATGTCTTTGTTCGGTTTTGCTTAAGCCACGATACAAACTCGCCGATACGAATTAAAATAGGAATGCGAACTGATCTGTCATTATATACTTTTAGAGCTATTTCTTCATTAATACGAAGAACTGTCTCAGCATAGACACGAGTGAGCCATCGGAGAAGAGTAGTTTTTGAACTTCCTGGATCACCTAGGATAACGAGCCACCGATCTTTATATCGCAGTGAAATCTCGATTACAGGTCCAGTAAGTCTTTCAAATTGTAGGTGTTCGACCGAAGGTAAAAAGTTACTGAGAGTGTTATTGATTGTAGGATACGATTCATCATATATGGAAAATAAGGGACGGAGGCTGTTTACCGATCTATTTGAGCAATCGAGAACTATTTCAATGCATTTCAGTTTTTCGTCAAGATGTTTTCGACTTTCTGAGCTCAGATGAATTTCTGTTAGTCCGTAGACATTACGAAGAAGATCATCTATATTCTCTATCAGATCTCGCACCTGTAATTTGTAATGAAGAGAAATACATTTCTGGAGATATTTTTTTAAAAACTTCTGATGTTCAAATAGTAATTGGTTTAAACTCTTTCGTTCTCCAAAATCCTGCTGAAATTGTATCTCACGTTGCTCTAGTTTACTTTCTAAGTTCATTTTTTCGAGAAAGCTTTTCCAACTGCTACCTTTGTTTTGTCCACCATTTGATTCCTCTAATACATAGAGAATATCGTTGTGCATTTCAATCCAAAAGTCATTCGTGAGTGAATTATTATAATCCAAATATCGTTTCAATTGTCGACAAAGCAATCGACTCCAATCAGTTCTTGTTGAATCTGGTTCAAGCAGTCGATTAAGATCATTACGAGTATTGATCAACTGCGATTTTGTGAAATCTGAACAAAATTCTGAAGATGATTTCAATATCTCATTGATCAAGCCTGTTGCACCTGCAATCACCTCATCCATTATGATTTCGATCGTCACGAATACTGATCAATTAACAAATCGGGACTTATATTTAATATGTCACTGAAAGAAAAGGGAATGTATCTCAAAATAATATGGTATAGTTAAGTGTATACCTGATTTTATCACAAGCGTCAAACTTCTAAAATAACTTTATCGATTGGAGTCGAACACAGCACGGGTAACTATGAAAGTGAAGCGTATCAAAATTCTTTGCTTGTTTTTTTTGAATTTTTTCTTTCTTTTTTCTTTTCATGTTACTCAAGTTATGATGCTTATACAGGAGAAAGAGAGAGAACGAATTACAGAAAACAGTCAAAGTGAAGAAAGAAAAAAATCGAAGACGATGTCTGCGGTTGTTATAGACATAACGACTGAAAGAATCGACTAGTTACTTTTTTTTTCTTCATCTCCCCTATTCTTGAATATTAAAAAAAAGAAAGAAAAACTGTGCGTGAAAGCGTGTGGATGTGGGTGAGAGTGTGGGTGTGGTGAGGGTATGGGTATGAGTGTGGATGTGCGTCTGGGTCTGGGTGAGGGTGTAGTTGTGGGTGTGGATGTGAGTGTGGGTGTGGGTGTGGGTGTGGGTGTGGGTGAGGGTGTGGGTTGTGTGTGGGTGAGGGTGTGGGTTGGGTGTGGGTGTGGAGTGCAGATGGGTGTGGGGTGTGGGTGTGGATGGGGTGTGGGTGCTCTGTGCTCATCGACAGTCACTTCCACACCCACATCCCACACGCACGCCCAGACCCCGCACCCCACCTACACCTACAGGCACACTTACACCCACCCACACGCACACGCACACGCACACGCACACGCACACCACACACTCACACCCACCCATCCCTCGATCTCTGTACTTTTGAAATAAAGAAAGGCGGTAGTTTACGATCGAATATAGAAAATGAATATACTTCAATATCTCGTCAAATAGACCATCTCACAATAAGATAGCTAGATATTGATGCCGTGAAATTGATTGTCGAACATGTTGAGCATTTATCGACTATTATATTTATATGTGATTGGAATTTGTCAACAACTTGGACAAAAATGATTAGATGGTTTCGTGAAAAAGAAAGAAAATTATGAATAACGGCTAATCAGCGATCTCGTCAAGTATGGCTGAAAAAGAATATTGCCAAATCACCAGTAGTCCAAAATATGGCCTGATCGATTGACCATCAACATGATTTATTATCTTTTCGATTTTAACCATTTGCTGTAGTGATCTCTCAAATTTTAATTCATCAGTTTTATCTTGTCGAGAATCAGTAATAAAAATAGTTTGGATATTTACGTTAAAATCTGTTCTCTTCCCTATTGAATATCTCGATTGGATTTATTTTAATCCGAGAAACAGTCGAATGATATTTGATTGAAAATTAAAGTTAAAAAAACATTTGTTCTTATCAAAAATGAAAAAAACATGAAAAAAAAGTCATTTTCTCCTTGATCTTCAATATTGAGCCAGAACATTTCTTTGAAAATTCGATCATCATTATTAGAGCATCTTGTTAACGCCAAGCATTGCAGCACATTGTGGACAAAAATGTTCCGTGTTCTAAAGAAACTCGGATATTGATACGCTTACCAATACGATTAAGTGAATTCTTACCTTAGTACTGTCAATACAAAATGGAATCAGGCAGCATCCACAAAAACCTCCGAAACAGGCAATGCAACCGCAAAGGAACCAGTTCATAAGACCATTCTTCTTTTTCGTTCGAGTGACAATCTGTCTATGACAATTGGGACATGTACCAGTTACAGGGTATTCGCCAAGAATCATAGGTGAGATGTAGACCGGTGTCTGTTGTATGAATGGTTTTTCGTCTATTCAAATACAAACACACGAGAGAATTCGCACACACAGTAAATAAGAAAAATTGTTTCATACAGTAAGGTGCTGATGGTGCGGAATCCATCGCTTATTTCTTTCGTAAAATTAGAGAACTACGAAATAAATTGAATAGTTCGTCAAAAAAGGTACACACGTATTGACGGCCACCACGTAACTGTATAATTAAGCGAAGGAAGAAAATATATACAACGTAAAAATATAAAATTACTCACTTGTTTCTACTCGTAAATGATGGCTGTAGTTGATGAATAAGCTTTCGAAATCTGTTCGAGTATTTATACTGGCATTGTTGTAGAGATGGGACTTTGCCTCATAATTGCAATTCTATCTTGGTTATGATAGAAGGGATATTTCCAACTGATGACGTCCGATGACGATGTGGGAAGAACAGAACAAAGATGTAATGGTCTCGATGTCGATGCTATTTTTCTCTTTCTGTAAGATATAACAGCCTAAGAAGCAGAAAATGCTCTGTGTATCTATTACTTTTTTTGACTCATCTAGAGAGCATTTTCTGTTTCTTAGGCTGTTATATCTAACACAAAGAGAAAAACGATTCACCCTACTTTGGCAGAAAGTAAAAATGTCGAAATGAAAATGTCGAAAAAAGTAGAATGATACAAATATCGAAAGTAGAAATGTCGAAAGTAAAAAATGTCGAAAACTGAGGTGGATACTTTCTGAGCATTTTCATGCTGAGAAAATTAACCCTTTATACCCTGTTGGGTCATTTTTGACCCATACGATAAAACTATATTCAAATACGAATATCTTCGTCAAAAATTGAGAACAGACAATTCATTTTTTTATGAATTTACAGCTTAGTATATTCTCGACATAATGGCCAATTTTTTTTTGGCAGTTTTCATAATCTATTGTCTTCCATGTTCACGATATAGGTTCGACAATGACAAAAAAATGAATTGTTCAGGATATAAAGGGTTAAAAAAAGGAAAGTCGCTAAATTCCAACCAAATGTTTATTATTTAAAAAAAAAGAATGAAATACAAGAAAAAGGTTGTATATAACGGTTAATTTAACATTAAATAATTTTCCTATTGAATAATGATGACCTTTTTTTGCTACAAATAAAGACAAACCACTGAGGAGCTCAGATGCTGTAATGAGATAATTACTATATCGATCATACAAGGTGTTTATTCGATTTTGTAACGCTGTTGATTGTTTGTTTTTTGGCTTCGATGCACCAGAAGACCATTGAACTGTAATATTTTGTACATGTTTTTCTTCTCCTTTCATAAAATTGATACAGTCCCAAAAATTTGGATGATGTCGATAAATACGAGAATTTATTCGATTCTGACATCCTGCAATTAAAAAGAGTAAATTGGTAGTTTTACATCATGCAACATACATTATCTTCACAAACATTGTTGGTTTTACTATCCAAGCCAAATACATTCCAAAGATTGATGTCTGACATCCAGTTGTTATCAAAATATTGCAACAGTTCAATGATTGGAAGACCGGGTAAGGAACCAGCAATTTCTCGTATTTCATCAAGTCCATGTACAATTTAATCACGTTGCATTAATGGTAAAGCCATAATCTTTCTACATAAACCACGTAATGTATCATCAATCATATATTGTTGCTGCGATGGGTGTGGGTGTGGGGCGTGGGTGTAGGTGTGGGTGTGCAGATATGGGTGCGCGTGTTGCTCTGACAGACGGCACACTCACACCCACACCCACACCCACACCCACCCACACCCACACTCACACCCACACCCACACCCTAGGTATTGTTATTCATGAGCCTTCTCTGTTAAAGTTCGACTGTGGGTTACTTGAGAATACCGAAGATTCATTCAGTAAAAGTGGACTGCACTGTTCCAATTGATATATAATCACAGAGCGTAAAATTTTGAAATATCAATCAGGTTTGTTCTCATAAAATTTCAATATTGTGGTCGAAACTTTGAATTCCAGACTTTCCTCAAGTCGAGCAAAAGATTAGTCATTTAAATGGTACAAAGTTAAAAAGAGCAGCAGCTAGCCGTGAGTGCCCCGCCCCTCCCCCAAGGGGCGCCAACGGACGACTAAATGCTGCCAAAGCAGGTTTATGATAGTTTTTGCGAGTTGTAGTACATTTTCACTCTATTGCCTCGTATATGTTTAGTTTCCTGATTTTTTCTGCCAATGGAATATAGTGTCTTTTTCGAATCCTGCGGAAATTGCTATGCTATTGTGCGTCATACAGATTTACTTCGGGTATTACTGGTAGAGTATCAGTTTAGTTGAATGAGTGATACGGCAACCAGTATCCAAGGATACGCATGACGTTTCTCACGTCGACACAGATTTTTATATTAATATTCGCTCTCACACACAACCAGATACATACGTCAGTTGCTAGCTTATGAATGAAGTGTGTGACAGTAAAAATTTCGAAGCAGTCAAATACTCAGTCGAGGGTCAAGCGAGTCATGCAGACGAGCGTTACTTGTTTAATAATATTCGATTATATAAGTTACTTCTTCTTTTCAAATAGAGTTAATCGTATTTCGATATTTATTTCATAGAATTAACACTATTTGATGTTCTATCATCAGTTGCGTTACGATCAATTCATACAT